TGCTTTGTCTGGTTTTGAGACCAGGATAATGCTGACTTATAAAATGAGCTCAGAAGCCTTCCTTCCTCCTAAATTTTTTGGAATAGTTTGAGAAGAATTGGTATTAATTCTTCTTTGAATGTTTGCTAAAATTCACCTGTGAAGCCATCTGGTCCAAGACTTTTGTTTGTTGGGAATATTTTGATTACTGATTTGATTTTGTTAGTGGTTACTGGTTTATTCAGATTTCCTATTTCTTCTTGACTCAGTCTTAGAAGGTTATGTTTCTAGGCCACTTCTTCCATATTTTCTCATTTCTTGGCATATAATCATTCATAGTATTTTCTTATAAATCCTATGTATTTCTGTGGTGTTGGCTGTCATGTCTCCTTTTTCACTTTTGATTTTATTTATTTGGGCTCTTTTTTTATATGTCTGGCTAAAGGTATGTCAATCATCTTTATTTTTTCAAAGAATCATCCTTTGATTTCATAGATTTTTTCTACTTATTTTGATTTAGCCTCTTTTTAATTTATTTCCACTCAGCTCTTTATTATTCTCTTCCTTCTATTCACTTTGGGCTTTGTTTGTTCTTCTTTTTCTGGTTCCTTTAAGTATGAAGTTAAGTTGTTTGAGATTTTTCTTGGTTTTTGAGGTAGACATGTATTACTATAAAGTTCTCTCTTAAAAATGCTTTGGCTGTGTGCCATACATTTTGGGTCATTTTCTTTTTATTTTCACTTTACTCAAGGTAACTTTTGATTTATGTCCTGCTCTCATTGTTAATCCATCCATTATGTACAGCATTTTATTTAGCCTCCATATGTTGTTTTCTTCTTGTAATTGATTTCTAGTTGCATATATTATGATCAGAGAAGATAATGTCAACCTTCTTAAATTTATGGAGGCTAAATTTATGTATGGCCTAGCATGTGGTATAATTTGGATAATGTTCAGTGTGCACTTGAAAAATGTTTATTCTTCTGTTTTGGAGTAAGGTACTCTAAAAATATTTAAATCCATCTGTCTCAGTATGTCAGTTAGGGCTGCTGTTTTCTTTAGGTTTTCTATCTTTGTTATCTATCCACTGATGTCAGTAGAGTGTTAAAAGTTTCCTACAATTACTCTATTACTGTTGATCTCTCCTTTTATGTCCATCAATATTTAATTTATGAATTTAATTGTTTGTACATTGGGTGCATAAGTGTTTACAAGAGTTAGATCCTCATGTTGGCTTTAATCCTTTGATTATGTAATGTCCTTCTTTGTCTCTTGTAATAGACTTTGTTTTAGAATATATTTTTTCTGATATAAGTATTGCTATCCCTGATTATTTTCATTTCTATTTGCATGAAGTATCTTTTCCATCACTTTGTCTGTGTGTGTCTTTTGATCCAAAATGGGTCTCTTGTAGACAGCATATGAATGGTTCTTGTTTTTTAAAATCCATTTAGCTACCTTGTGTCTTTTGAATAAAGCATTTAATCCATTTATATTTAAAGTGATTATTGATATATATATATATATGTAGTTACTGTCATTTTATTATTCATTTTTATGTTCTTTTTCATATCTATGTTCTTTTTCTTAAAGAGTCCCTTTAACATTTCTTATAATATTGGTTGTATAGTGGTGAATTCCTTTAGCTTTTTCTTGTCTGGGAAGCTCTTTATCTCTACTTTGATTCTAAATAATAGCCTTGTTGGGTAGAGTAATCTTGCTTATAAGTCCTTGCTTTTCATCACTTTGGATATTTCATACCAATCCCTTCTGGTCTACAAAATTTCTATTGAAAAATCAGTTGATATTTTGATGATAGTTTCCCTTGTATGTGACTAACTGCTTTTCTCTTGCTGCTTTAGAGATTCTCTCTTTGTCTTTAACTTTTGGCATTTTAATTATGATGTGTCTTGGTGTGGCCTATTTGAGTTTGTTTTGTATGAGACTATCTATACTTTCTGGACTTATTGTGACTATTTCCTTCAACAGGTTAGGTAAATTTTAGTCATTTCACAAATAGGCTTTCAATCCTTTGCTCTCTCTCTCTTCTCCTTCTGGTATTCCTATGACGTGTCCATTGGTAACTTTGATGTTGTCACACAAGCCCTTTAAACTATCTTCATTTTTTAATATATTTTTTTTTTTTGCTATTCTGATTGGGTGTTTTCCACTATCTCATCTTTCAAATTATTGATTTGATCCTCAGCTTCATCTAATCTGCTGTTGATTTCTTTTAGAGTATTCTTCATTTCAGTTATTGAAGTCTTCATTTCTAACTGGTTAGTTTTATGGTTTCTATTTTTTTATGTTAACCCTCTCTTTGTTGAAGTTCTCACTCTGTTGATCTATTCTTCCCCTAAGTTCATTGAGCATCCTTATAACCAGTGGTTTGAACTCTGCATCTCGTGTATTGCTATTTCCATTTTGTTTCGTTCTTTTTCTGGAGTTTGCTCCTATTATTTAATTTGGGATATATTTCTTTGTCTTCTCATTTTGACTCCTTCTGTGTTTTTTTCTATGTATTTGACAGATCTGCTGTTTCCCAGTCTTGGCAGGTGGCCTTATGTAATAGGTTTTCTTTGGGGTCCAGTGGCATGGTCTCCCTGTTACCTGAACCAGATGCTCCAAGAGTGTCCCTCGTGTGAATTGTGTGTGCCCCCCTGCTGTAGTTGAACCTTGATTGCTGTTTGCTAGTCAATAGGTGGGGTAGTCCCTCAGGCTGACTGGCTGTGAGGACTGACAACAACCACAGTGGGAACTGACCCTATGGAATATGATTCACCCCAGTGGGGCTCTGGTGCCTTTTGAGACCACCCTTTGGGTTTGCCTTTTGCAGAGCTAATTGAGTGGTGCTCTGTTGTGATATGAGGTTGGCCATCAGGTGTGTTGGTTCTGGGGCTTCTTGAGCGGGGCTCCAGTACAGGCTAAGTTCAACCGCTGCCTGTGCTGGGACCAGGGCCATCTTGTATGAGCTACAAAGTAATCCCGGGTTGGCTACTGCCTGTGCTAGGCCAGGAGGCTTGTAGGAGAAGACACAATGTGACTTGAGGCTGGCAGCCACCCACAATGAGTGTGGAGCCACTCTGCAAAAGGCATAGAGCACACCAAGGTCAGCCACTGCCTTCTTGAGGCCTGTAGACTTTGGAAAATTTTAAGAAAGTGTGCAGTGCAGGTCACATCTGCCCATTAGCCACTGAAAGAGCCAAAGGCAGTGTGTACATGGGCTAGAGCTGAGTCTCAGGGAGTCAACGGGATTTTGTGAGTGGTATTTACTGGGTTAATACAGATTCAGATTTGGTGCCAGTCTCTCCCTGAAGGCTGTAGAGACAATGACAGCCCTTGCCCTGAAGCCACACATTTCAGTTTCTCCCCACATGTCTCTGGTGCTTTTTGAGCCACTGTTCCTTTTCTGGTGCTTAGGGTTAGTGCTTGCGAGGGACTGAGCCTGTATGCAGGCCTTCTAGGAGAACATCTGGGTTTTTAGCAGCTCTCCATCTCAATAAGACTGGACTGAACAGCCACTGAATTTCACAGCCAGCTGCTGTGAAATTCTCTTCCCAGCACTGGAATGCTGGTCCAGGGAGCCTGGTGTAGAGCTAGGACCTCTCGATCCTCAGTGGGGACCTCCGCAGTCACAATGTCCCTCCTGATTCTCAACTGCCACACATGGGTTGGGACCAGCCCACTTCACACCTCTGTCCTTCATACCAGTCTTGATGTGGCCTCTTTTTTTATATCCTTAGTTACATGAGTTCCACTAGTTCAGCTAGTCTTCAGGTGGTTCTCCAGGTTGACTGTTACATAACTGAGCTATAATTTGATGTGGCTGTGGGAAGAGGCAAGCTCAGTGCTTACCTATTCTGCCATCTTGATCAGAACTCTCGGATCTCTGAAGTGTCTAGGAGAGCAGTTGATCAGTACTCCTTTTCACTTAAATGAAGACTTTTCCTGCCTTTCAGTTGCTATAATGTTTAGCTTCCATTGCCAAATAAACATTCCCAGTACAGATAAAAACACTATTGTATGAAGTGTGGAAAGGTGGTAGAAATATGGATCTTGTTTTGGGCAAACATTTCCCAGTTTAAATGCTACTATATAAAAAGAACTAAACTGGTCATACAAAGATACCTTATAAAGGTGTCAACAGATCACTTTTAAAGTGAATAAAAGAGCAAAGTCAATGGAAGCGGACAACATGGAAGTTATGGACCTTCCTCTTCACGTAAATTAGAGTGATGCTGTAAATCATAAATGAGCTTCTTTTAAGAGCTTCCTATAGTCCAGACATTGTGCTAAGTGCTCTAAGTGCAGCCCATTTCAACTCTACTATCACCCAGTGAGGAAGGCATTAAATCATTTTACATACAAGGAAACACATTTAAAGTTCATGTAACTTGCCCAAGTTTACACACCTGTTTATATTTGTGGACTATGAAAAATCAATTTAGAATCATTAGTATAACAACTAGAATAGCTGTAAATATGTTATTTTTCTTTTTATTACTAAAATTATGAATGACTGTAAACCACCATTCAAAGGATTTTAAAAAAATCAACAGGTATTTAAACAACTTTGAAAAATAAAGCAGAAAGTTACTAATTCTGAGACATAGGAAATCACAGTTTTTTTCCTGGGAGGAGTAAACATTTAGAAAACAAAATAATGTAGGCTGGCTCAACCAATGGTTATTATTTTCAGTATACAATAAGATGCCTTTCATTCTTGACTTATGTAAGTAAACTTTCTCATGCTTCAACTTATTGGAAAAATATATGCTACACAATTTACACATAAAAATGCCAAACAACAGAAATTTAGGCACCAGTGTGATGTACATAATGTGCTAACAAATATAAATAACATATACATTTTATGTCATACATCTGTCATGGAAGTGAATCTAAGACATAGTTAATTACAAAAACTGCCTCTTTTCAATTATTCTGTTTTGTTGATGTCAAGAAATAAAATGTAAATGTCAAAAAAATTAATAAAAAAAGAAAAGAAAAGGTATTTGTACCTTGAATACATTTTGGTATCTTAGGCTCCCAATTACTGTTAGCTCCACAGGTAAGTAAGCTGCTGCCTTCAAGGTAAAATCCCTCCAGGCATTCCAATGTAACCTGTGCTTTGTAGTAATATTTTTTTCTAAATCCTGCCACCAGTCTTCCATTCTTGAGTACTGGATATTGACATTTGACCACTAAAAGGCAGAGAAATTCCATAATTAATGGAAAGCTGCTCTAACATAGGACAGAAAAACTAGTGCAAAGTTAGTAATTTCCACTGGGAATAAAGAGACAAGGCAGGATTTTAATTTAAAAATATCTAATTCCAAGTAAACAGGTATAGAGAAATCTAATATTTTCCCACGTAGAACAGACTGTCATTATAGTTTATTGGTTTCCTTTATGTTTTATTTTGTGATATTTTCTTAAAATATTTTTTTCAATTGTATTTTTTTCCATTAATATTGATTTCCCTTATACCTTCCTCCCCTCTGCAACCATCACACTGTTGTCCATGGCCATGAGTCCTTTTCCCGTTTTGCTCAATCCTTCATGTTTTTCCCATACTGACACATTTTTAAAAGTATCTGACTACCAGATACAAATTCTGGGAAATTTCAAAAGCAAATTTTATTCTCTTTAGGGATTTAAAAAAGTCTTGCTGATACTGACTACAGTACACTGCTTTTTTAGAAAGGCAGGAAAGACTCTTGTGAGAACGTTATCCTTATGCTCAGTTATAAACATTGATAAGAAGCTAGCCATGTAAAGATACGAAAAAAGAAAGTTCTTAGATAGCAAGAATTTACATGAACTGGGATATTTAAAAAATAGAAAGGCCAATGAAGTTAGGGCTGTATTTACCAAACTATATCTTAATAATCAAATATCACATTTTACATTGTAACCCAACGTATAATCCTATAGGCCTGAGATAAAGTTAAAAGTCAAAACTTAGACTCCATAGCACTGTGCTTTGGCATTTTTTCAATTATACTCTTCTAATTAGGAAGTAAAATGCTGACCATTGATTTGAGGATCCAGTAATGTGTTTGGCAGAATTTGGAAAAGATGAAGCAAATAAACAAACAAGCAAACAAACCAAACCTTGAGTTGTCCAGTGAGTAAAAGAGATTATGAGATTAAATCCTAGCAATAGATAAGGGCCAGTAACATACAGACTTTTAAACCAGAAGAGTGGTTTTCCTCCTTACCTATAGATCTGAATTTCCATCAGGTAAGGTATCCATTTAGCCTGAAGTATTTCCTTTAGCAATTTTTGTAGTGTAGGCCTGGATAGTGAGAAATTCTCTTACCTTTATCTCAAAATGTTTTTATTTCACTTTCAGGTCTGAAAAAATTCTCCTTGAAAGAGATTTCTAGGTAATGTGTTCTGTTTTTCTTTTAGTACTTTAGCAGATATTATTGTCTTCTAGTCTCCACAGCCCTGCCACAGATCCAAGAGAAGTCAGTTCTCACTCTATGGGGGCAGGGGCAGTGTAATATGCATTCCTCCCCTTTCTCAGGGCTTCTTTTACTTTCACGTTTGATTGTAGTAGTTTTATCACAAGTGTTTTCACTTAGTGGGGATTTCTTGGTAAAATTTTAAAATTTATTTAACCTGCTAGAGTCACTCACATTCCTGGACTTGTGGGTTTGCTATTTTGGTTCAGATGTGAATAATTTTGGGTTAATATTTATTCAAATAATTGTCCATACTGTTATTTCTCCTTTCTGAAATTCCAATAATATGTATGATTATTTGCTGCTCTTTGCTACATTATCTCTCTAAATATTTTAAATATTTTTTAAAATCATGTTCGATTTGATTGTCCTGAATTTAGGTTCACTGAGCTTTTTCTGTTGTGCTAAAATGCTATTAGTCACATTAATGATTTTAAGTTAGGTGTGTACTGAATTTAATTAACATATAGTAAAACTCTTTTGAGTGTACAGGTTTATGACATTTCATAAATGGAAACACTAACTGTGTAATTACCACCACAGAAAAGACTTTGAAAAGTTCCATTACATCCAACCATTCCTCATGCCACTTAGTACTCAGCACTCCCACCCCCCACCCCACAACCACCTCCCGAAACCAGCCAGCCATTGATCTGTTTTCATCCCTATAATATAGATTTTCTAGAATGTGCTTATGACTAAGGCTGCTAAGAAGATTGTCACACAGGGGTTCTATGTGCACAAGTTTTAATTTACTCAGATTGCAGAGCTGTATGGTAAATGTATACTTAACTTTATAAGAAATTGCCAAACTGTGTTCCAAAACAGACATACCACTTTGTATTCTTTTTTAAAAAAAGATTTTATTTATTTATTTCTAAAGAGAAGGGAAGGGAGGGAGAAAGAGAGGGAAAGAAATATCAATGTGTGGTTGCATCTCACATGTTACCTATTGGGGACCTGGCCCACTACCCAAGGCATGTGCCCTGACTGGGAATTCAAACAGTGGCCTTTTGGTTCTCAGGCCAGCACTCAATCCACTGAGCCACACCAGCCAGGGTCCACTTTGCATCCTTACCAGCAATGTATGGAAGTTCCAATTGCTTCATATCTTTTCCAGTGTATGGTTCTATTACGTGTTTGTTTTTGCTTTGAATTTCAGCCATTCAAGTTCAATGGTATGTTCAATGGTATGTCACTGTGGTTTTAAATTACATTTCTGTATTTACTAATCATATTAAGCAACTTCTGATGTACTTCTGCCACCCTTATATTTACTTTGGTGAAATAGGTCTAGTCAAGTCTTTTGTCTATTTAATAAAATTGGGATGTTTTCTCATTATCGTGTTTCTACATACATAACAGATACAAGTGTATTATCAGAAATGTGCTTGCCAGTATTTTATTCCAGTGTTTATTATCATTTAATTTTTATTCTTGGTACAATGTCTTTTGAGAGAAGAATTTTTCAGTTTTTAAGAAGTCCAATGTGTTCATTATTTTTCATTAAAGGATCAGGCTTTTAAGATTATATTTAATATTTTTTGGCCAAGCCACAAATATTTTCTATGTTTTCTAGTGTAAGTTTTATAATTATAGGTTTAAATTTAAGTCTAAGATCTATTTTCAGTAAATGGTGAAATATGCTCTTAACATGGGCTTAGGGTTTTTAAAAAAATGTTTTGCATATGGTTATCCAATTGTCCCTGTACTATTAGCTATTCCACTGCATATTTTGTGCGCCAGTACAGAAATCAACACAGTTTAAAGGGTCTGTTCCAGGGCCTCTATATAGTTCTACTGTTTTCTATGGTCATTCTTTCACCAATACCACACTACCTTAAGCATATGCCTTGTACTATGTTTTATAGTAAGTCTTGACACCAGGAAGATTGAATCTTCTAATTTTTTTCAAAATTGTTTTGAGTATCTTCCCATATAAAGTTTAGTTTTCATTACTATAAAATTTGACTTGGCATTTTTTACTGAGATTTTATAGATCAGTTACAGAGAATTGGCATCTTTATTATATTGTCTTTCGATCTATGAACAATCTTTTCAATCTATGAAAAATAGAGAATTTTTCTCTATTAATTAATGTCTTGTTTAATGTCTTTTAAGTGTTCAGTTGGTTTTACCATTCAAATCTTGCACATATGTTGTTAGTTTATTTACAAATAGTTTGTGCAGTTTGGAGCTGTTGTCAATAGTACTTTAAAACTTTGAATTTCTAATAGATCATTGCCAGTAAATAGACATAGAATTGACTACTCCACATTAAGTTCTTGTCTAAAGCTTCAGTCTTTCATATTTTCTAAACAATCATTCCATAAATGAATAAGGTCTATTTTATTTCTTCCTTTTCAATACATATGCCTTTTTCCATATCTTGCCTCATTGTGCTGGCTATGACCTTCAATATAATACTCAATACAGTGGTGAGAGTAGACATCCTATATTGTTTCAACTTTAAGGGGAAATAAATTACTTTATTAACATTAAGTATAATGTTAGCTGTGAGATTCATGTAATGGAGGTGATTTTTGGCAGTTTCAGACAGGTCCACTTCAGTTCCTAATTTGCTAAGTTTTACCATGGAAAGATGATAAATTCTCTCAAATGTTTTTTTACACCTATTAAGATGATCATGTGTTTTTCCTTCTTTTATACTCTTTTTATATAGCAAATTATACTGATTAATTTTTAAATTTAAATCAACATCACATTCATGGAATAAATACTACTTAATTATGATATTGTTATTTTTATATGACAGTATTTAATCTGTTAATATTTTGTTAAGAAGTTTTGATTCTATGTTAATAATGGATACTGTTTATAATTTTCCTAGTTTTGATATCAAGGCAATGCCATCTTTCTATTTTTCTTGAAGAGTTTATATAGAGCTGCTATTATTCACTCCTGAAATGTTTGGTAGAATTACCCAGTGAGGACATGGAGCCTGTAGGTGTCTTTGTCAGAGGTTTAAGTTGTCAAAGCTATAGGCATAAAATTCTGTTATTCCCCTATTATACTTTAAATGTATACAGAATATTTAGTAATGTCCTCTTCTTCATTCTTGATATTGGTCGTTTGTATCTTCTTTTATTCTTATCCAACTGGCTATAGGTTTATCTATTTTATTGATCTTCCCCAAAAGCCATGTATTTATTGATTCTACTTTTTCTTTTTTCAATTTCATTGATTTCTAGTTTTATCATTTCCTTGTTCTTTATTTAAATTGCTTCTTTTTCAATTCTTAAGATAGAATACATCTTAAGCATATATTATTGATCTGAGATCTTTCTCTTTTTCTAATGTAGGTATTTTATGCTATAAATATCCCTCTTTTTTAAAGATTTTATTAATTTCTATTTTTAGAGAAGGAAGGGAGGGAGAAAGAGAGAGAGAGAGAGAAACATTAATGTGCGGTTGCTGGGGGCTGTGGCCTGCAACCCAGGCATGTGCCCTGACTGGGAATTGAACCTGCGGCACTTTGGTTCGCAGCCCGTGCTCAATCCACTGAGCTATGCCAGCCAGGGCTATAAATATCCCTCTTAAGCAATGCTTTTGCTTTGTCCCAGAAATTTTGATGTATTGATATATTGTTTAATTTTATTCCATTCAAAACACTTTTCAATTTTTTGTGACTTCTTCTTTGATTCATTGATGAGTTATTATTGCCATTAATAATTTTCAAATATTTGGGGATTTTACAGATACTATGTTTGTTTTTTTATTCTACATTCATCCCATTGTGATATTTATTATACAATAAATGAATTAAATTTTGGAAACTAAAAAATTATCTTATTGACTACAATATGTTATTAGAGTTTGTTCTATATGTACTTGAAAAGAGAAACTTTGTTGTTATACAGTGATTTATTTCTTCCTTTCAAGAGTCAAATACACTCTAGTTGTCTCCCTGTTTTTGGTCACACTTGAATGCAGTAAACATTGCTTTTTATGTACAGGTATACCTTGGAGATACTGCAGATTTGTTCCAGACCACAGTAATAAAGAGGGAGTATCATAATAAAGTAAGTCATAATAATTTTGCTCCTAGGGGTCTCATCTTCCATTTGTAAAAATTACAACATGTATGAAATGCAAAAAAGCAAAGTGCAGTTAAACAAGGTATGATTGTATGTTTTACCCAGAGTTTATCACTCTTGTTGGTGAGAGGTTTAGTCTTTTGCATTTTACCATTTCCTCTGGGCAGAACTCTTATATGTCCCATATTATGAGACTTTATTTTTAAGCCGGTGTGTGTTTTGTGATGCTCTCAAGCAAAAAAAGTCTTAATTCATGCATATACACACTAATTCACAATGTATACAGTGAAGTACCAAGAACATTGGGGTGATGAGAACATTGGGGAACTCTATAACTAGAAGTATTTTTTAAATCTATTTGCCCTATAGTAAATTAACTTAAAAACTAATTTAACAGGAGGAGCAAGCTCATATGACTGTTTTGTTTACTTTTTTGGCAACAGTATTTTGAAAGTGTTTCCATACTATTTACAAATGAAGAAAGAAAGAAATGGAAATGTTACCTTTACACTGAGGAGGGTCACTGCTCCATTCATTATGCCCAGAACAAATAAGCCTGCTCTCTCCAACAAGTGAATATTCATCTGGTCCATTTGAGGGATTACAACTATAAATTACTACTTCATTATATTCAAATATGTCCTTGTAGCTATTTGTATATCTCCCATTTGATATTTTTCCGGGAGGTTGACATAAAATTCCTTAAAAATAGAAAAAAGACACAGAAGGCAAAAAAAGATTAAAGATGAAGACAGTATTAGTAACATCCTGTTAACTACCTTCAGTAGTTATTAACATATGAATTTCTACAATCTAGTTGTGAATCCAATGTCCATTAAGAAGAAAGTTTCTATGAGAGAATGTATTATACCAATTCAAAACACTAATGTGGAGCTGTACTTTTAGAATAAAAGTAGTTTTCTTAATAGCAGTAGAAGATACCTATGTGAAATAGCTGTATTATCTTCAAGGCCATTCCAAGTTTTGCTCTCATCATTAAAGAGGTTGACCGTTTAATGAGAAAATTTGCTGGTGATTAAAAGTAAAACTCAGTGGTCATTGAAAAAGGCTTCACAGTTAAAAAATATATCCATGTGTAAATCAGTGGTTCACAGGTAGACTCAGATATCACTGCCTTTCATCACTTTCATCCTTAAGAGTGTACAGTGAAATTTCCAACGCCTGCAAATTGTCTGCTAATGCAATGTGCTGAATCCAGGCATCTTCCTCTAAAGCCAGAACTTGAAGACATTTGAAAAATGTAAAACAATGCCATTATTCCATCACTTGTTTTTAAAGTTTTGATTTTCCATGTAAAAGTTCCATAGTCAAATATGCATCAAGCTTATGAGTTCTTAAACATGAATATATAAATATTTCTTGTTAAAATTTATCAGTTTTTGTTCTAAGATAATGGATATCAATTGACTTACCCACCTGAAGATAAGCTCTGTGGGGTCTTTGTTAAATTAAAAGCATAAAAGAGTCCCCAGGGGACAGAATTTGAGCACTGTGGCTCTAAATTCTAAAGAGAGAATGTACTTACTTTCACACTGTGGAGGACTGTCACTCCATTCCACACTATTTCCAGAAATTTCACAATATACAATTTTTGTTCCAAGTAAGTAATAACTAAATGAGAAAAGAAAGATTACTGTTTTCTTTATTAGTTAAGAAGAAGCACATGATTATAAAGAACATTTTTATGTGATTGTTTTTCTGCACTATAGTAGTTTGAGGGAGAAGTTTCTTAAACAATGTATTGAACTGCTAAGCAAGTTGGCAACTTAAAGAGATTTTGCATTTGAACATTCATAGGCCTAGAGAAAAGTGTCTAAATAAGTCTGTCATTGCCTGATAGTCTGGCCTCTTTTCTATCTTCAGGAGGCACATCAACATTTAGTTCTCTGAACTTCTCATGCCACTCAGCCCAGTAAAACGCCCAAGTAGAGAAATCTGGCCCTCGTGCTTACCTGCCTGGATTTACATCCCAGCCGCCGGACTAACTTGTTATTTGAGCTACCCTTAATGTTTCTCTTTCTCAGTTTCCTCATCTATGAAAATGGTATAATGGTATATACCTCACAGGGTTGTTTTGAATAGTAGATAAATAGTGTCTGACATATAGTGAGTACTCTGTAAGTTTTAGTAAGTTGTTTTGAAATAATTGACAATGGCTATAGGTAAGGAGGGCAAGAGAAAGTAAAGCTGGTCTAATTCTGGGATAGGGAGAGAATCCATAAGAAAGAAGTGTTTGCTGCTTTTGGATTGTTTGTGGACAACATTTGGAATGGGCATGTGTCCACAGGATGCAGTGGAGAGTGGTGGTCAGCTACCCCTCTTTAGGTTAGACTATTTCCTGAAATAGCTCTTCTCTAAACACTATGCTGAAATAGGTCTGCAAGGTGATTCAATGGTTCAACATACACTTAGGAAAGTGAGCAGCTTTTCTCGTTTCTGCCCTTGGCTCTGTTAACTGATGACTCCTTGTCTCTTCCTCCTACCCCTCTAGCCTTCTGTAATTTAATTTCACACAGCTCAGAATCTTTCTCTTATCAAAGTTATAAACCAATATCAAATGGAAACCTGGATAATTCACAAAATTGCAAGCATTTACACTTTTAAGCATCCAATAGATCAAACAGAAATTAGAAAATACTTTGAAATGAATGAAAATGAAAACATAATATCCTAAAACTTTTTGGGTGCAGCAAAAGTATTTCCAAGGGAGGGATTTATGGTTATAAACACTTAAAACAAAGAACAAGAGCTATGCAATCAACCACCTAACTTTACAACTTGAACAATTAAAAGGGTTAAATACAGTGTTAGCCAAAGAAAGGAAATAATAAAGTTTGGAGCAGAGATAAATAAAACATTGTAAAGAGAAACAAGAGAGAAAAATAAATCAAACTAAAAGTTATTTGGTCAGAAAGATCAACTAAATTGATGAAACTTTAGCTAGATGGACTAAGAAAAAAAAGAAGACAAATTACTAAATAAAAAATAAAACTGGGGGCATTAATACTGATTCTACAAAAATACAAAATACTTTAAAGTACTATGAACAACTTGATCCAACAAACTGGAAAACCTGGATAAAACAGAAAAATTCCAGAACACAAAACTGACCAAGACTGAATCACACACACACACACAAAATATGACATCTGAGTAGACTTATAATTTGTAAGACTGAATCAGTAATCAGACATCTTCCAAGAAAGAAAAGCCAGAGAGACCTGATGCTTTCACTGGTGAATCCTACCAAACATTTCAAGAAAAACTCATACCAGGTGTTCTCAGGCTTCTCCAAAGTGTTGTAGAGGAAAGAAGCCCTCAGAACTTATTCCATGAGAAGAGCATTACTGTGACACCAAAGGCAGAAAAAGATTACAAGAAAAGAAAGCCACATACCAGTATCCATTCTGACCTTTGATGCAAAAACATGCATCAAATCATAGCAAACAGAAACCAGAAAGATTATCCACCATGCACAAGTGAGACTTATTCCTGAAATGCAAGGGTAACTCAGTATAGGAAAATTGATCTAGGTAGTCTTCCATATGAACAGAATGAAGGGAAAAAAACCCAACAGGATCATCTCAACGGATGCAGAAAAAGGACTTATTAAAATTCAACACTCTTGCAAAGAAGTACTCACAATCTAGGTATAGGAGGTAAGTACCCCTAGGACAATAAATGCTATGCGTGAAAAACTCACAACAGACATCATATGCAATGGTTTAAATCTGAAAGCTTTCTTTTAAGATCAGGAACAATACAAGGATGCTCACTTTTGCCACTTCTACTTAACAAAGTACTAGAAGTTCTAGCCAGAGAAATTAGACAAGAAAAAAAGATATAAAAGGCATCCTAATTGGTTAGGAAGAAGTAAAATTGTCACTATTTGCAGATAATAAAATCTTAAATGTAGAAAACCCTAGAGATTACACTCACACATATACACACAAATTCTGCTAGAACTAATAAACGAATACAGCAGAGTAGCAGTATACAAAGGCAATATTAAAAAATCAGTTGCATTTTTATAGTGTATTATATTTACCCTCCAAATGCATATTTTTCACAGATTTTCAAATATATACTATTAAAAGAGTCCTATAGAACAAAGCTACTATTAAGTGCTTGGTAATAGTTTTTCAGACCTTCATTCTTTGTAGCAGTCTGAGAAATCAGGTTTTCCAACTAAGAGGTCTTGATCAATCTTATGGTCCAGACTAACCAGGTCAATATTCTTCTGACACTTTACAGAATTATCTCAATGTAATAATATCCTTGGTGGGCAAATCTACCTCTCGTTCTGTAAGCCCTCCGTCGACTCTGAGGGTTGGCCATGTGAAATAGGGTACACTTAGTTGTTAAAGTAATGTCATTATGATTACTACATTTTTAATGCTAATGATACACATAAAACTATAAAATTTTCCTTTTCTTCAATTTAAATTTCTATTCATTACATATCTTTTCAGTCTCCATAAAAACATTAAGAGCTGACTGGCTACAAGTCCAACTTGTCACACAGAAAGCAAGATGAAATCCAAATTATGGGAATGCTTAGAAGAGAACCAAACAGAAATAGAACTAGTAACATTTACCTTATCTCTCTAAGGAGCAACTTACCCGTCATTACAAACATAGTGAGCCTGTGAACCAAACTGGTAAGTTCCATTTACGTAGACCACTTGACCATTTGTGGGATCTCCTAGCTGTGGGCATGATTTTTCTAAAAGGAAATTTTCAAATTTGTTGTTTTTTATCCATTTTAAAACAGATTTGAATCAAAGTCAAAATTCTACATTACTCTTTTATTTTTATTTATTTTATATATTTTCTCTTTTTTTATTTTAATTGTTGTTCAAGTACAGTTTTCTGCCTTTTACCCCCATCCCAGCCCACCTCCTGAGCTCTTCCCACCTCCCACCTCCACCCCCCAACCCTGTTACTGTTCATGTGTCCTTTATACTAGTTCCTTCAAACCCTTCCCCCCTTCCCCTAAATTCCCTCCCTTCTCCTCTCTGTTCACTGTCAGCCTATTCTCAATTTCAGTGTCTTTGGTTATATTTTGCTTGTTTGTTTGTTTTGTTGATTAGATTCCTGTTAAAGGTGAGATCATATGGTATTTGTCTTTCACTGCCTGGCTTATTTTGCTTAGCATAATGCTTTCTAGTTCCATCCATGCTGTTGCAAAGGGTAGGAGCTCCTTCTTTCTTTCTGCTGCATAGAATTCCACTGTGTAAATGTACCATAGTTTTTTGATCCATTCATTTACTGATGGGCACCTAGGTAGCTTCTAGCACTTGGCTATTGTAAATTGTGCTGCTATGAACTATGGGGTGCATAGATTCTTTTGGGTTGATGTTTCAGGGTTCTTAGGATATAATTCTAGCAATGGAATTAATGGGTCAAAAGGCAGATCCATTTTCAGTTTTCTAAAACTCTCAACAAAATATTGGCAAACCATATCCAACAATACATTAAAAAGATCATATATTGCTCTTGTAAATTCATTTAACTATTTAAAGCCCAAACTTAAGATTCACATTTACCCTGATAAGCAATTGCCAAGAAAAAGATTCCCAGGAGATTTTCAAAGACATTGCTATCTAACATCCACAGTCCCATGAGAAAATCACCATTGTAGCAGTCAAATATTCACTCTAACATGTGTAAAAATCTCCAGAGCAATAAAAAGAAAAGTTTTGTGTACTTACTTGTACAAGCCTCCTGGAGGGGTGTCCAAGTGTTATCAGGCTGACAAACAGCGGTGGTAGCGAGAAAAGGTACAATACGCTTGTATCCTAAACGACACTTAAATTCGACTCTGTCCCCATGATGATAAAAGGGTGCAGGATTACCCTTGAACATCATAGATTCAAATCTTGGCGGATCACCACAGGCATCTGGGCATAAGAGAATCAGAAGAGGCCAATGAAGTGTTTTGTCTTTTCATCAGCCAGGGACTGTAGTCTGACAGTGGTTAGGTGGTGCAGAATAAATGGAAAGGTCCTTGGCAAGTTTTTAAATGCTTGCTTCATGCTTCTACACAAGCTGAGGATATGCCGTGATTACTTTAAATAACATTCTATTAGCTTTTGTTTTGTTGGGGAGTAAGGTAAATATTCACTTAACAGTAAATTGAAATGACAAATATCAAGGTTGGGGTGTCAAAAAGTATATATAGTTATGCATCTTTTCCTACTTTTTTTCTGAGTTCATTTCACACTTCTACCCTAAGAAGCCTTCCATAGTATATAGTCCTTGGTCAGATTACTCTTCCATAATTTGAAATACAAATTGATGATGATTTGTCACTTCATGCTCAGTCTCCTCTCTGAAGGCAACTTTGTAAAGGACAGAGAAGCATCTGTATTCTTTGAACCCAGTGGGTGCTCTAGAAATGCTATGTTATGATGTGATTATTAAATAAGCGTTGTAGATTTCATAGATCAAAATAAATATGGACTAAACTATTTCAAAATATAAGACTTCATGTCATATGTTTCATATCAGTGAACTGAGCATTTTATATGTGAATAGATATTTAGATATCAACATTTACTACTTTTAATAACCTTTAGGTTATTAAACCTTTAAGTTATTAGGATGAAGAAAAAACTGCTTTCTTGGACATTATTTTAAATGTAATTTAATCTCTCTTCACTGATCAATGGATCATATATTCTCTCCGAAGTGCTTTGAGGTAGCTGTTTGGGCTGTGTGTCCAACAATTCCTGATAGTAAAATTACTACATTGCTATGCCATAAAATTTTTTACTTTGGGGTTTTTTTAAGTAGACTTTTCTGCCTCTTACGATTTCTACATCAGCAATTTTTCTTTCCCTTAAATTATTTGTAGGCTTGAATACCTAACAAATGTGTTAGAACAATATGTAAAATAATGTGCTGGAGACACATTAAGCCCTAAAGGGCTAAAAGAATGCAGAGGCCTCTCCTACAAGGCTAAGGACTGAAGGAGAAAGGAGAAAGGTCTGTTTTGAAAACCCTGAGAAACCTTTCCTCTCTTACTCCTTGAATCTTGGTCTTCGGATTGAGAGACCAGCAAAGAGAACTCTAAACAAGGGCAATTTTACTCTTATTTCATGTCATATTCGAAATTCTAAAATCCTCTCTATATACACAGTCTACCATTTCATTTCTATCATATCTCATAATCGAACTACTGGCAAAATATTTCAACATTTCCACTACGCTGACCTTGGTATCTGAATACAACTGCCTGTAACAAAACAAATACAAAAGGCAAACAGCATTTTAAGAAAGAGGATTAGTACAGAGGTGAGTTTTATTAATAACGTTACATTTATTGAGTACAGCGAGACAGACATTCTTAAAATAGGAAAAAAACACACGGCTAGAAATGGTATATAATTCCACTCAGAATACATAACATCATTTCAAAATTTCCTGGAACCACCAAGAAAGAAACCACATAACAACATGTCTGTGATTTAATCATACAAGTGTTCTTTGTTTTATGCATTCAGTCTTTGTAACTGCGTTATCTGCTTTGTATGGAAAGCAGATTAAGAAGAGAGGAAGCCCAATATTACTCTCATATATAGTCTCTGCATGGAAAAGGAAAAGTCAATTGGCTGCTTTAACCTATTCATCTAATTCAAAGTATTTCTTCCCACGAACATGCATTATTAAAGATGCTTACAATAATGTGCAGAATTTAAAATATGGTTGGCTACCAGTTGATACTTGGTTTATATATTGTGATAATCGAGTCTAATATCACACATTTTAATAATCAAATTTCTTACCTTGCTCAGAACACTAAATTTCCTTCCATCAATGATGTTCAAACTAAATTATTTCCAGATGCAGAAAAACAGCATACTGACTTATTTTTCTAGGTAGTTTATAATATGTTTACTATTGAGCCGAAATACTATATTTCAACAATAGATGACACTATGTAATATGATGGGCTGCATTTAGAAAATTTTCCAATGTTCGAGGTGAGTTTTAGGAAAATGAAATAGTTTTCTACTATTGGCCAAAAGAACTGTTCACCTTGTCTACATTTGCCAACCCTGGGTAAGTACTTTCTACCTGCTTGCAAAAATTAAAATCACTTTCTCACATGAGTACACACACAGCCCTACCCAGATGATGCCTTCAGAAAATCATGGTCTCTCATTCAACTGGAGCCCAGTGAAACCTGACCATCTTGCTCTTTCTTCCCACTGTCTACACAACCTATTTTTAAACTTTCTTTGCTTCCCAAAATGCAGACTCTGGCATCTACACCTCTGCTATTTCTCACTTCTGACTTATTTCTAGGCCTACAAAAATCACTAAATTACTTTAAAAGTCATTAAGTGGCCTCCTTGTTTTTCTACAAATCCTAACATTTTCTTCCTCAGTAATTTCAGTTACACTGTTTCTAACATCTGGAGCTATTGATCATTCTGTCTTTGCTCCTTTCTGTCTGAAAAGCTCTCTTTGGTTTCCAGGACAGCACCACCACCTTGGTTTTCAGCCTGTCCTCTGGCTAGTCTTCCTTCTCTGCCTGATCAGATAATGGGATAATGGGATGTTCCTAATGGTCTTTCTGGGAACTCTTGTTATTTCATTCTGCGGACACCCTGGGTGGGTAGATACACTCCCACAACCTTGTTACCCCTGAGGAGAGCTGCCTCCCAAATCCCTCTCCATTCTAGATCTCTACTTGGGGTGCTAGGTCTACATATTCAGTTGCCACTTCACACAACTCCACTTGGAAAGTGTCATGCTATCTTAAATAACATAATGAATTCGCCCTTTTGATTCTTCACATTCACACATACCCAGCAAACTAGTTACATTGTTTCCACAACTGAATGCTTGTTCATCCCTCTAGTTCTATCCTTTATTTCTACAGCCACTGTCATTTATCTGGATTGTGACCAGTTTCTGGATAGGTCTCTTCATCTACCTTGGTACTATCCATTCAATTCATTTTTCATAATGCTACCAGAGTAATATTGCTATGACACAGTGACCAAGGACCTCCCAAGCCAGATACTTTTCAATGGATACCCAATGTCCTCAGGATAATGTTTAAGGCTCCTTAGCATGACTAAAGACTTTCACAGTACAATCTGTCACTATCTGAATCCTGCTTTCTCTTGCACACTATTCTCAAGCCATATTCAGTTCCTTGTAGTGGCCATTAAATTACTTAAGTTTTTTGAATTGTGTTTGCATGCTAGGCCTGCATGCGTCATTTTCCTTCAGCTTTGATCAGAGACCCTGCCATTCTTCCCACCTGCTCACCCTTCAGCTCCATCTTAGATGAGACTCCTTCCTTGAGGCTCTTGATGTCTCTCACTTAAGTACTGAGTTAAGTGTCCTCATGCTTCCCCACTTTTTTCTTAAACACTTTTACTATAGTAACTGTTTATTGTTTATGCTCTCTATGAGACTGTCACCTCCTTGAGGACCTCGTCTCATTCATTGCTGCACCTAGCATTAGAGGTGAGTGAACACAGATAATCAGTTCTAGACACTCTCAGATCAACATTCAATTCTTTACTGTTCAGCCAGCTTGTCTTGGAGATGTCTCCAAATCATAATTTTTCTTTGTTATTTTTATGCCTGTGTTCATTTTTTATTAATTTATTTATTGATATTTCCCTTTATCAAATTTCTTTCATGTCAAAACATTTATGCTTAGTTTATTATGTACCCATTTCTCATTATTGTTATTATTAGAAATGGCTTTTAAATATTACCTAAGCTGAATTCCAAATACCGTAGGTTATATTTTTTCCTAAAGTATGGCAATGGTTGGCTATGAAAGATTCCAGTACTTGATTCTTACAATGATAGTGATGTTATGAATAATTTTAGAAATAGCAAGCATAGAGCACTACCTGTGCCAACCATTATTTCAAGTGCTTTTTAAGTAACTTAATCTTAATTATGCCATGAGTTGGGTACTCTTTCCCCCTCTTCAATATGAGCAAACTGAAGCATAGGCAGGTGAAGTAACTTGCTCAAGAATACATTCCTAGTAGACAACTGATCCAGGAGCCGAGCCACCCAGGCAGCCTAGTTCTATTACAAACACTGTTTCCTGTGTGGAACACTTACATGCTTACACCAGCACGCCCTGTTTGCAATTTAGTCCTCAAGAATAGGTCTTCTACTAAGCCTGGAGAAATTAAAGCAACACTACTTTAGATTTGCACTGTGCTAAGTCAAACAGAAGTGCTCAAGTTGCCCTAAAAGGACAGGTAATGACATTGTAGTTTAAATTTTATGGTGATAATGATTCACTACTAACTACCCTGTTCCTTTTTACAATTAGTCACTCTTCGATCTAGTTCTATGCCTTTCTCCTGCCTACTTTGCTCTACTGCTGCCACAGTGGACAGCTCAAGAGTCCATGAATGCCCTGAGCCCTATCACATCCCTCAGTCTTTGCTCTCACTGCTTCCTGTGCTCTGCATACCCTCCCCCCACCTCAGCTCTCATCTTGTGGACTTAATTCACTCAACATCTCCTCTAGGAAGCATTGTCTCCTTGCCCTGAGGAGGCAGTGACCAGTCCTCCATTCTTGGACTCAGTCTTCTGCATGGATCTCTTAGGTCACTAGCAGATGTTTTTGAGTTTATTAGTTAACATGGCTGACTCCACTCATCCATGTGGCCATAAGACCTAGCACAGAATGTCCTCCATAGCAGTTATTCAAAAAAATTCAATACTCAATGTACCAGTGCTGTCAAATAAAAAATGATGGTAAAAAAGATGTTGTAATGAATATAATATTGAAAATAATCATTTAAAACTCTATGCACTGGAGAAGAATTTGGATATGTAATTTTTTTTGTTGCCTATCTGCCAGTATTCTGGTAACCTAGCAATTGATAGGCAAACAACTGGTGTCTTTACATTGTAATATGCAAACTAAGGAAACTAAGAAACTTCTGTGTAAGCACTTGTTGATCATAGTTTTTTTTTTAATTAGAAAGAAAGGAAAAAAACTAAAATAGGTATTAGAGAACACATATAACAGTATATTGTGGGTTTGTCCAAAAAGAAGACCCCTTCTGGAAGAGTGAGATTGCTCCTGGAAATACAAGTGTTCCTTCCCTCAACTTACTAGAATTTGACAACTAACTCTGAGATGCAAGCCTCCCACACAGAACACTGTCTGCTTGCAAATCCATCTTCTGAGCTGCTTCAAGAGAGTAATGTTTATTTTATCCACATGTTTTCCCTGCCCAGCAAAGTGATTTCTCATTTTTACTTTGTCTAAGTTTTATTTTATTCTGATTTTAACTTTAAACCTTAAACTTAACCTTGTTTTCATCCCCTTCATTTCTAGTTTTGTTACCTTCCATGTTGCACCCCACATTTTATGTATTTTCCTCTATTCCAAATAACATTTACAGTGTTCTTCAACTCTAGTGTTAAGCCTATACTAAACTTTATTCTTCTTTAAAAATTTCCTCTAGTTTTCTTACCACCACTGTTCCCTTCCCTCTCTCATAGAAACAAAGTTTTTGATGATCAGTAACAAGAAGACTGGAGCAACATGAGCCCTGCAGGCTCTACATAAACGGGAAAGGACAGAGCTTCTCCAACCCTCAGCTGTTTTTGCCTTAGCTTGTCAGGCACCACTGAAAGGCCATCCTAAGCATGGCTCTTTGAAGAACCTTTCCCTTGGAGCAAGAGAGATTTGTTCCTGGGCCCTGAGCCCTGGCTAAACATTATACTTCATTTTCTGACACTGAATAGTTATACAAATATGTTGATACTGAGGCAAAAAATTGGACATTTGCAACCGCAAGTGTGACAAGACAGACAAAATCTCTGCATTCCAGTGGACAGAGGATAGAAAAGACAGTTTCAGAAGAGTGATTCCAAGTAAGGGAGGATTGGAACTGGAGTGTGTGTGTCTTCTAGATATAGTTCCCTCAGAGACAGTTCCTCAGGGAATAAGATTGCAAATGAGTCTGAAGGATAAGGAGCCAATTATGTAAGAGGCAGCAGGAGAATATTCCCACACTGAGGGACAGCAAGGGCAGAAGCCGCAAAGCAGCAGAGTTTGGCCTGTCTCATGAGCAGAAAAGTCTCCCCTTGACCAGTCACTTGTTCACTGCTGTCAGAGACTCATGCTCCTTCCCTCCAGAAGGGCACCTGTCTGGGGGTGTAACATATCAGTATTATGGTTTGGTTACTGTCTGCCAGTCCCAATAAATTTCAGCAAATGTTGATTGATTGCACACAGTAGGCATACTGTGTGCCTAGATCTAACAGTGGGCAAAAAACATAGTCCCTGCTTATATTCCAGTATGTGGGTGTTTGTGTGCGTGTGTGTGCATGAGTGCGGAAAAAATAGTGAAACAAAGATCATGAAAGTAGGAATGGTTTGCTATTGCTCGCCAGTGTGGCCCCCAAACCAGTACAGGACCTGGCACATAAAAGGCAAATATTTATTGAATGAATTCTGCTAAGGAAAGAATGCTGCATGCGAACTGTATATGTAATAGGGTCCTAAAATAATTGGGGCATAGACACACAAGTGCATATAAAGACAGAAGGAAATATACCCAAGTATTAAAAATAATTACCCTTTCATTGTGTACATTTTATACAATACACATGATTTTTGGCATACACACACACACATAGTAGTACTTATTCCATTGAATGAAACATGTATCAAACTGAGTAGATGGCCTTCAGCTTTCGTTTATGAGCTTTAGAGGAAAACCATATTACAGTTACTTATCAATCATTTCTTAGAATACTCATTTCTGATTAGGTTTGGTTACCAGTAGTTTTTAGGTTGTTCCAGACCTCACCTCAAATAGAACCCAATCTAATGAAAAAAAAGGAAAAAAAAACATTGCTCAAAAGACATTTGGGGGGATAAAAAATGATAATGTCTGTATTGGATGGGAATAGGAAGATTACTCCACATTTGTTTGTTTTTAAAGCAACAGCCTCAAACCAATAATACAATTTTTGAGCAACAAAGAGCCCGTTACTTTATGTACAAAAGGCACTGCATGCCCATCTAAAATCCTCTAAATCCCAGGACCTAGAGTTAGCTCTCATTCAAGGGTTCCCTGCAAAACGTGCTCCCCAGTGCCCTTGGAGAGCAAGCAGCGAGCTTCCTTGCCGCACATCTAGTACTGCTGGCCTGGACACTTGTACAAAGCACACACTCGCGAACGTCCGATTCGAGCTCCTCTCAGGCCTACCCAGAAGGGCCTAAACACCAAGGCATTACGCCTTCTCGGAAGACTGCATAGCTTCCCCATACGCACAGCACCGGCTCTAGCAACATTCCCAGGCACCTGGGCACCCCTTGAGCACCCGGCCTGCGCTTCCCATCCCGCTTGGCTCAGTCCAGAAACATGCAAGCTATTTCTTGGACCCTGGCAAACACCCGCCCCCACCCAGAGCCCCGCCAGGCTCAATGCCGACCACCAAGCAAACTTCACCGCCGGCACTTCAGGGCCCCACTCCCCTAGGATCCGGGCACAGCATAACCCCGAGGAGCTCTAGCCACGCCTTCACCCCAACTCTGCACCTCCGGGACCGCCCAAGTCCCTTGCCTCTTGACGGACCCACCAAATCCCCCTCTCCCCGCCCTCGGCTCCAGTCGGCCATCTCCCCAACAAGCTCCAGTTCGCCTATAAAGTTCACACCCTCTCCCATCCCCTACCAGAGGTTTTGGGTAGCTGGAGCACTAGGGCCACCAAAACGATCCCAGCAAAGCACCAAGAAAAACAGGGACTCCCGGGGCGGCTGGGAGGTGCCGTGCGCGGCGCATGAGACGCCCTCATTTTTCCAAGAGATCAACTTGGAAACTGGAGGAACAGCAAACATTTACCTTCTCGAGTGCAGACACCAAACGCAACAATCGCCCGACTCCAAAAGTGTCTAGTGAGGTACCAATGATGGGCGTGGTCTGAGCCGTGACGTTCAGGGTCGGGGCGGGGCCAAACGCCCGGGCCGTTGCGTTAGGTCTGGATGGATGGCGGTGGTTCTGATCCGTTGGATCCCGCTGGCAGGCGAGGTTCTGCCCGCGCCCGCGGTGGCGGGTGGGGTGGAGGGTGCGGTCTGACAGTTCTCTGGCTTCCTGACTACCGGGAAGCGTCCCTGCCACTTGTGAGACTTGGTGGTTCACCACCACGTTCATCGTTCATCGACAGTTACCGTTTTCAAAAGCTGCTCATAGATAGTTACGCTTTTCAAAAGCTAACGATGATGATACCCGAGGACTGTTTTTCTCAGAGGTGTCATTATCACCTCAAAAAGATTTAGAGGAAATCAACCCCTTCCCCTTTTCTTCCCTGGCAGCTCTATTCAGTTAGCTCATGACCCGTGTATTGAGAACTTACTAAGACCCCGGCAGGGCGCTAGGTCAGTGGGTACTAGAGCAGATCCCACCCCGCCCCTGCCTCCAAGGAGCTCTTAGTGTGTGCAGGTTCTAGTGGGTCATGCTGTCAGGGCAGTGTAATGAAGGATCAGGGTTGTTCAAGGTGCTGGTGTGCCTCGCGGAAAGGTCACGAGTGCACTTTTTAACCCCACATTCACCTGGGTGGGCTCTGGACTTCTAAGGGGCTCCCACCACCCTGCCCCTTTGCCTGGCGTGCCAGCTCTCCTTTGACCAGGCTCACAGAGACCCCTGTAATTCCAGGGAAGAAGGAAGCTTTGGGGAGGCTCTCCAGCCCTCCCTCTGAACTAGGAGAGTCTTCCTTGTGCTGCTTCTCACCCCAGGGGCTGGCGGGAATAATGGAGTTTGCATGCAGTCCTGAATTCAGCTGAAGATCCTCGAGGCTGGGAAAAGGGTGCCCATGCCATCTTCCTTGGAAGCTGGGTTGGCCCCCAAGATGTTTGGTTTGGAGGTAATAGAAACTTTCTTTTTCTTTTTTAATTTTAAAGAATGGTGACAGTGTTACAGAACAACAAGGGGGGGGCCTGGGACAATATACTATTACTGAAAGAAGCCACCAGGTCCATTATGTCTGCCTCCAGAGGAAAGACGTCTCTCAATGCCAGAGATTCGTGAAAAGGAAATGTTTATTTAATGCTATACAAACTTAAAGTAGTGACCTAATGTCTTCATCAAAAATCCTAAAGTCCCTTAAAACACCCACAAACAGACACAGTCCTTCCTTCCCCCTTTGCCTAGTCCAGAGTACCGTTATCTCAGGAAAGGAAATAGAAGTCCGTGGCTCAGGCAGTCCTCTGGATATTCCCAGTCAGACTCCATCCTGACTGGGAGACCTCCCTGGGTTCCTGGCATCCTCAGCTGTGTCGCCGGGATCTCTGCTAAAACCAGGTGGTGGTTCCCCCTTCTAAAGCTGTGGGGGTCCCCACTCTGGCAAAGACACGTGGTGGTCCTCTCTCCCAGGACCAAAAGAGTCCCCACTCAGCCAAAATCGTGTGCTTCTCCCCTCTCAGGGCCACGGTCAAGGGAGGGGGGGTCACCACTCTGCCAAAGCCGAGTGGCGACTCTCTGCTCAAGCCGCGTGGTTTTCCCTTCTCAATAGCTGTGATCCTCTCTGCACTGCCGCAGCCGCATGGTTCTCTCAGGGCTGCCGTGTCTGGGTTTAACAACCGCCCCCCCCTGCCCCCCCGCCCCCGCCAATCTTCCTCTGCAGCCCCATTTCCGACTCCTCCCACACTCAGCCTCACAGGCCAGAACTCACATCCTTCCAGCTTTACTGGACTGCCATCATGAATCTGGGCAGGCGTGGCCTCATATCAGGGAGCCAATCTTCTCCAAGCTCCCACGCAGGTGCTGTTACTCGGGGGACTTGCCCCCCAGTTACAGAAGATCCTTTCCATCCCCCTGGCCCAGAGCATGGCCACAGCTATTTAACATATCTATACAGCCAATCAAAGGTTATAGATATGTTAAATAACCATGCCAGAGGTTAGCTGCAAGGCTATTGCTATGTGAAACAGCTCTCAATGGCCCCACTCCATTTGTCCCTTCCCCCAACCCACACCCTGGGGGAGTAGGTGAAGACATCCTAAAATCTCCTGGACACCTTGAGTTCTGGACCCCATTTCAAATGCCCATTTGGGGTCCCCCCTCTTGGCTGCACCCTGTAACAATAGTACAGCCCATATTAATAGTAGTTATATATATTTTTAAAATTTTATTTATTTATTTTTAGAGAGGGAAGGAAGGGAGATAGAGAGAGAGAAACATCAGTGTGTGGTTGCTGGGGGTCATGGCCTGCAACCCAGGCATGTACCCTGACTGGGAATTGAACCTGTGACACTTTGGTTCGCAGCCCGTGCTCAATCCACTGAGCTACGCCAGCCAGGGCAGAAACTTTCTTTTGTCTTTCTGTTATCAATAATTGAAGCAGATCCACTGCCAGGGTGATACTGAGACACCACTATCGCTGTCCCATGTTGAGACTTTTAAATGTAGCTCAATTTCATGGAGATTAGGACTTCACCCCAACACAATCATAAAATTATTTTCGAAACAAATCAACCTCACTCTCTGGTGATGCTTCTGTCACTCTTCCTGGGAGGACATTTCTTGAGGACTGACTTCACATAGTTCTGGGTGGAATAAAATCACTTTTTTTCCAGGAAGTCTTTTGTTTTACCCCCACTTGTTTCCAAAGGAGAACACCTTCTTTTTTATTATGAGCATAATAAAAAAGTACAAGATAATATTAATTGAATGTTAACCCTATAACAGGCACCTTCCACTTGGCTCTGCACGTATGATGGCTTTTGGCTTTTATCCATCACAATAACCCTATGAGGGAAGTGCTAATATTAGCTTCTTATTACAAAGAAGCAAGTGCAGACTCAGAGAGGCGTAGGCAATAACTTGACCAATACTCCGAGTTCATAAGTGGCAGAGTCAAGATTTGAACCCAGTTCTTTCTGGCTAGAGAGGATGAGTTCTTGACCACAACACAATGCTAATGCTGCAGATACAACCTCATTTTCCCCATCTCATTTCACATAACATTCTCCAGCTGCCTGGATACTGAAGGTGGCTGACACAGCAGAGGACAGAAGGGAACCTGTTCGTGTGGCTTACTTATGTGTTCACTTCCCTCAGAATTAGTGACAGAGGGAATCATGACTGAACATGGGGTCGAGGAGGGCACATCACACAGTTCAGTGTGAAGTACTGATGCTTCCCCACAAACCCAGGGATCCCTCCTGGTTGGGTTCTATTTGGGGGTGTGTAATAGTTATAGCCCCACTACACTGCCTGCAGTCCATCTAGTGAAGATGTGAATTTAGTAGAATCTTCAAGTGGCTTTATCGGCTGTACATTCTTGCTGAGGGCTTATCAAGAGAAAGTTTTACTCAGTGCAAAGATATTACAACGTCATCAGGTCTGTAGCTGTGATCAATTCACTATGAGTTTTCACCTGGAATCAAAAACTTTAATTATCAAGGTGAGGGTGAGGATTGTACCTCTGAGATTCTACTAAATAGCCAAGAATATTTCATCAATTTCTGCAGGGAGGACTTCTCCTTCCCTTAGCTCCCCTTCCTGGCTTCACTTACTCACACTTTAATCAAGTTACAGCCTGGAAATTGCTTACCTGTGTCTGTTACACAAGCTTATTGAAGGTGGTGCTAAGCTGCCCAGTACCAGTTACCCCATCATCTCCTGTGGAGTTTGGTCAATGGGTCCGCATAGATGCAAGGGAAGAAAAGGTGCAAAACTACCTAGAAACCACATGACTGGCCTCAGATGGTACCACCCTGCACCTGCATCACCTAGCTCATTTCCCCCACTCACTCATTCATCTGTGCTGCAAACATTTATTCAGTTCAACAGACATGTACTGGACATCTAATGTAGGCTAAGCATCTAGCTAGGCATACAAAGTGATTAAAAATGGTCCCTGCCCTTAACATGCTCAGAATCCAGGGGAGCTAGCAAACAATAAAATGACTGGTTAGGGGAATGGACAGCACTTTGGGAGTTCCTAGGGCACAGGTCAGAGTCACTATGGCACCCCAGGCAGAAGGAATTGTCTGTGCAAAGGCTTACAAAGATGTGAGAAAGCAAACATATAAGGGCAGAAACTCCCTACTCTTTGTTACTTAAATGCTTGCTTAGGCCAGTATTTTCCCCAGGTCCTGGAGGTGAATGTTGGTCTGTTTAAGTCAGTTCCAGTCCCCATTGCCAGTGATGCCATCCTGGCTGATGAAGGGAAGTCTGCTGGGTGTTCTGGGGACATATCTCTCACTCATAAAAAGAATCACTGAGATATATCCTTTTTTTCCCCCTTTGAGCTTCATGTGAAGGTGGGATGCTTAGAGTTCCTGAGCCATCTTTAAGCTATGAGAGGGGAGGCCAAGAAAACTGCAGGAAGCTGACATTGAGCCCTAATACCAACCCTGGGACCATTTTCTTGATAAGAGAAATAATAAACATCCTTATTATTAAACAGCTTTTCATTGATTTTTCTGTCACTTACAGCCTACAGAACCTTACCTGATGGAGTTGTGAGAAATCACATATACACCCCTGCTTCTACCTTATTGCCTTTGCTCTTGAACTTCCTGCTACCATAGGTACTTTCTTACCAACTCCATCTGTTAAAATCATACACACCCTATGAGACCCACCTCAAATATCACCTACCTCTACTCAAACCAGTATGATTCTCCCTCCCATCTGACCTACCTATCTCCATTGTAGAAGGCTATGACACACTGTTCCTTGCATTGTGGTTATTTTTGTTTGTCTTATAGGAATAAGATTGGAAGTTCTCTGATGATAGAAGCTATATCTTATGTTTCTTTGCAAACCCTGAAGTGCTTTCACAGTGTCTGACCTCAGTGGGTGCTCAGTAAATAATGCTTGATACATTTAATGGGATGGGATGGGGGTCTGGGAAAAGGTAAGATATACACGAAGGAAAGCTGTGATCTGGTGA